TTAAATCACTCTCATTTTCATATTATTTTCTCGAAATCCACGATACGATATTGGCGGAAACAAACGGTGTCGATATTGCGAAACTATTTGTTCGAAAGTGCATGGACCAAGAAAAATCAGGTCTCTGTTTCGTCCTCAACCATCAAATGAAAACACCTTACTAGCATAATTTACTTGATATGGTGACAAAAGCCCTAAGACAATTTATAAGTTCTAACGTCCCGGAAATTAGATTCACACGAGATCATGAGATCACTAGATTATGTGTCTCAGATACCGGGTTTGTTGTGAGAGCATGTGCAACACTCAATCTATTTTGAAACATTTAAAGCCCCATTAGCCACTCACAAACTTACATAAAAGTACACTCGTAATCGAACAGTTCGATACTTGGACTTAAAAAACGAGAATAAGGAATAATAAAACATGATTTTTGCGTGGGATAAGGCTTGCAAAAGCGCTATTCGATGCTTCAGGCCATCTATGATTCGAGGAAAGCGGGGACATCCACGGGATAAAATCACTAGAAAACATTTTTAAAACAGTCGGAAGTGAGGCAAATCATTTTCGTTTTCATTACCGTATAGTTTTACCATTCTCATTTTCGTTTCCTCGGTTACCGTCATCACTTTCATTTAGGAGCAAAAGTCGGTAATTTTTCAAAAACGATTCCCGGTAAATGGAAATTATCGTTATCGTTTTCAGCCCTAGAGATCAGTGTCTCAGATACCAGAGGCATGTGCAACACTCAATCTACTTTTGAAACATTTAGATGCCACTTGCAACATAAAAAAACAGATGAAACACTTAAAACATGCATATAAAACACTTGCAGCAATTGAAAACTATTACAAACATACTAAACATCCAGATAAAATACTAGAAACATATGTGTGAAACATGTGCAGCATCCAGATAAACACGCTTGCAACATACGTCTACTGAGAAAACATATGAAACATCGGGAAGACGCTTGCAACATACGTGTACAACCATTGCAACATATGCAACATCCCGATCTACTTTTACAATATCCACGTGAAACATTTGAAACATATACCTCTAAAATATCTAAAATATTTGAAATACACACTTGCAACATGCATCATATCCCAATTGCGGCCTCCTCCGCTGCCGTCTGCATCGAGGCACCGCAACCGTAGTAGGAGGCGAGGCTGGATGGGCTTCCATGCGTGGAACTGGCGCGCTCTCCTCTTGCGTTGGGGGCACTTGTCGCCGCGCGTGGAAGCCGCGGGGCAGGCGGTGGAGTCGAGCAACAACAGAGGAGGCAACAAAGCGGAGCGGAGGCGGTGGCAGGAGCAGGCCACGATAGGCGCTTCGGTGGATGAGGTATGGCGCGATAGCGACGATGACACTGAGGGCGAGTGGGTGCTGGAGCAGGAAGCTTGGATGGGAGGGGATCTAAGGTGACCTGGATTTCGCGCCGCCTAGCACCGTCACGAGTAGACGCCGTGACGGGGAGGCGGAGGGGCGGATGTCGCGGTGAACACCGCGACGGGCGGAGTGAGGAAGTTTTCGGTCACAGAGATAGGGGAGTAGGGGAGCAGACCGTTTGCCTGTTGGGCCGGTCCACTGCGCAAGCCTAGGAAGATAGCGTCCGGTCGTCCGGACGCCCTACACGAAGCATTATCGAATAATTATTTACAAAATTACTTGCGTGTGATCTCGAAGCTGTCATAATTTGTTTTCAGATTGAGAGATTAACATGGGGATTAAATTCAAGAGTTACTAGAGAATATAGAAGCCAAATACAAAGACGGCAAAGCCGTGTCTGTGTTTTTAGTGCACTTAACGAGTGATCTATTTATTTATTTTCTTTAATATATATATTTTTATATATATAGAGAGAGAGAGGTGGCGACGTCCTGAAAACACTTAACGAGTGAAAATCACTGTCTGGAATCCAGATGCACTGAACCTTTTTTTTTAATGGACTGAACCGAATCGCTATGTGAAAGAGGAAAGGAAGAAATCACTCTCTGGCATCTACGTACACTGCTGGTCGCTACGTGAGAGAGAGCAAAGGTGGCTGAATAACTGGGCCACAGAGGAAACGACGTGTCCTTTTTTTCTTTCTAGCCCAGCTCGCCCAACTGAATGGTTACAACTACACGGGCCAGGTTTGGTTTATGAAGCAAGCCCATACGGAATGTTCGTTCGGTAAGATTTAGGCTTATACCAGTGTTTTAGTTTAGGAAAAAGTCCATGTTACCTCTCTCAATTTTCCTCCCTGTACTCCAAAATTGGGTGAACCACCTCCCTGAACTTTTAAAACCATTCATTTTACCTCATTGACCAGTTATAAACGGTTTTCAAATGCGGTTTTGTCTTTTTTTTTGCTGAATCTTTAAAAATTCATTGTTATTCACAGAAAAATCATAAAATAGAAAATCCAATTTTGTTGGACTCCACATGAATAGATGTACAAAGTGAACATATAATATGGTATGCTTTTATACACATTTTTTTGCTATAGCTTTAGATCTATGCTTTTCTATAATTAATTTATAGCTGCAGTTTCTATGGTCCAATTATGGTAAAATTTTTATGGTGGACTAATTATTGTATACTTGAATTGTAGTAAAAATTTCATACTCATTGGATCATGTGTAACTTAGTTATAGATTTATTTAGGTGTATGCTTGTTAAAAAGTTTATAAATCTATAAGTAAGTTATACGTAATCTAATGAATATCAATTTTTTACTACAGTTCGAGCATACAATATTTAGCCTACCATAAAAATTTCACTATAATTGGATCATAGAAACTGCAGCTATGGGTTAATTATAGAAAAGCATAAATCTAAAGCTATAACAAAAAATTTATACTAAAGCATACCATATTATATGTTCACTGTGTAGTCCTACTCATGTGGAGTCCAACAAAATTGGATTTTTTATTTTATGATTTTTTATGATTTACTATTATTTTTGAAAGATTCAGCCAAAATAAATAAAAAAGAAAAAGACAAAACCGTCTTTGAAAACCGCTTATAACCGGTTAGGGAGGTAAAGCGAATGGTTTTAAAAGTTCAGGGAGATGGTTTACCCGATTTTAGAGTTCAGGGAGGAAAAACAGACTTTCGTAAAAGTTGAGAGAGGTAATGTGGACTTTTCCGTTAGTTTAGTGCTGCTTTTACAAAAAATCTGCAAAATTGATCAAAAAAAAAATGCGCAAAGTTAGATTACAAGAAAATGTGTTGTTGACAGTGGGAGGCCGACACGCCTAAAACAATCGTCTTCCAGGTGGACGACTTTCAAAAAAAGTAGTTTGTACCGGCGGACAAAAACTGTATAAAAAAACTATCTCATTTTACGGGCGCACGATTTTTTTTAAACAATGACGGAACATCTATCTCTCAATTAAAACGATTTTTTAAAGAATTTCTGTGTGGCTTAAACATCTTGCTTTATTTTTTGTATGCATAAATAATGACCTTGAACCATCTTTATTAACAGTATCGTCAGATATGATCTCTCTTCTTGGTTCGTTAAAAAAAAGGCTTACAAGTAATTAATAAGGTCAAATTTACCCTTAACGTTTGATTACCAACACTATTTTGACTTTTTCTACTAGATAGCCTCTAGCCCGAAGCGTGAACATTATGATCTTCGCCAATCAAATTAGTGCTCACCTATATGAAAAGCTCAACAGTACAGAAACTGTTTGTACTGACGGTATTTTTTGAATTTTCACTATCGATTTTGTAAATCGCTAGTGTGAAAATGGTGGTGTTTTTACTGACGTCACTTGAAAACTGCCTATGTAAATGTTTACATTTATGGTTTTTCTTCCGGTGGCATGCTAAGTGCAAATGTTTTTTCAAAATTTGTCGTGCCAAAGAATTAAGCCCACCAACTAACCCTCGTCCAAATACGCGTGCAAGCGGCCACCAAGGAACAAACTCACACCTCAAATCTCACGCGTTGATTGCGCTTCAAACTCATTGCCACCACCAACCCCGATGCATGCCATCGCACCCCGCATGGCGCACCCGGGTCTGTTCGCTTGAACTTATCAGCCGACTTATCAGGTAGAATTTATAATATTTTTCTTTCATAATAAAAATAGCATCAACCGATTTTAATACCAGCCGATGAGGCCCCCTTTATCCGCCGTCCACCGTGACATAGAGACGTGGCCCCGTACGTTGCACTGCTCAGCGTGCTCACTATAGGCGTGGTGGTTGTCCCAACCGGACCTGGTCACACCACCCAGCCAGGCTAGACTTGGCTAGTCGTAGCGTATGCAACAACAGGTTGTTTGCTTTTCTGTCGATAAAAACAGGCTACACAACAGTTGTTTGGGTGTCAGCTTTTTGCCCTGTAGCTACACGACGCGTGAGCCCTCGCGAGCCAGGCTAGGAAGAAACGGAAATGAGAGAGGCCTCTGATTTCTTTCTTCTCTGGAAGGTACCACACTCACTTGCTAAATTTGTTTTTCACAACACTCACATAGATGGAAGTTAAGTTGTGGCGACTCCAAATCAGGTTCTCTACTTTGTGCATCTTGTATATGGTATGCCTATATATATATATATGGCAAGGTGTATGTTTCTTAATCTGTTTTTACCAACGTAGTTGTTCTTAAAAAGCCAACTCTCCAGGATGTGGTTGCATTGCGAACGGGTTAAGAAGTACGAATTTTTCCATCTATGTTTGTATGTAAAGCTACTAGTACTAGTTAAGGATCAGACCAAAGCATGAAATTCACACTCGAAGGATCATCATCGGGGCCAACACGTACTGATTTGAACAACAGCATATATATGAATGTTTCATAACAAAGATCATCATCGGGGCTAACATTTCAAAATCTCATTGAATTCGCTGCAAACATTCTCCTTCCGAGTCTCATGATCAGGATATTTAGACAGAACAATTATTCATCACAAGTTCACACGACTGAAACCAGATCACCACAACAGTATTCATATTACATTATTACTCGACTCATCACCCTCTCGCTACCACTGGCTTACAGGATGGCTATTCCTCCTCCGGCTACTCCACGGTGGCCGCGGTTGCCCTTGCTGCTGCCGTTCATACCTTTATGGTAGGTGTCACCCCCTTTGGTGTGAGCTATGGCGGCACTGGCAGCGTTTCCTCCGCCCATCGCATGCCAGGCCGTCGCCACATACAACGGGCGGCCGTGCCACGCCAGCGCGAGGCCACCGGAGCCCTGCAGGATGCCGAACCCGGAGCCGGAGAAGGAAGTCACGCTGATCAGGTCGGCTATCGCCATGTTGGCCTCGCTGAGGTCGAATTCCACCTGGGTGAACCCGGCACGGGTGAGCCTCTCCTTCCAGGCGGTAAACAGCTCATGCCGCTCAGTGCGGGCGCTGCCCTCGCCGCAGATGATGTCAAAGATCTCGCCCCGGAGGTACGCCTCCGCGAGCGAGCTGCTGCTGGTGCTGGTGCTTCCGGCGGCGGCGCTAGTGACGAGGGGGCACATGGCCTCCAAGGAGTCGAACATGGTGGCGTAGTGGAAGAGGGCGTTGGTGAACCTCTCCAGCAGCAGCGGCTTGTTGTGATCCGCCTCCTGCTCCACCACCGTGAAGATCTTGGGCTTTAGCTTCACGACCAGTTTGAGGAGGATGTCTATCGGCGACGGCAGGGTCGACTCGTCGGCGTCCGGGTCGACGAGCAGGTGGTGGAGCTGCAGGATGGAGTTCATGGCTAACGCCTCATCGGGTCTGAGCTTGAGGTGAAGCCAGGCGGTCAGTTGATCCAGATGGTCGGCGCAAACTCCCTGGAAGGTGAAGGGGATCTTCACATAGCGCGCGAACTCGGCGAGGCGGATGCCTACCTCATGGAGCTCGTCACGGCCACTCGTCGGGTTCGGGCCAATGCCTGTGATGCGGAGCTCCGGCGGCCCGCCCTCACGCTTGGAAAGCTCGTCCATGAGCGCCGGCCACTGGAGCCCCTGCATGAGGGCGAAGTCGATGATGTGCACGCGCTTGCAACCCTCGAACGCTTTCAGGATGGCTCGGTTCGCCGTGGAGTAGGCGAACTTGAGGTAGGGCCCTGCATCGTAGAAATGGTTGTATGTTGCCGCTGGCGTTGCAGTAGGAGGCGGTGTAGGCAGGGCCGCCGCGTGCGGGTACTCCGGGAAGAGGCGCTGCGCCAGCGCGTCGGCGAAGTGGGTCCCTACACGGCCGATCCCGGTTGAAGTCGGGATCTTCTTGAGGATCCCACGAGCCTCGGACAGGTTGCCGTGAGCGACCGAGTAGTCACCCGCCTGTATGGCGCCGGTGCAGGTGATGAGGAGGTGGACCAGGCGGACGGATGCGTCTTCTTCCTCCTGGCGCCGCCTCGCTGCCTCAGCGGCGGTTTGGACCGCGGGCTGCACAAGAGATGCATACAGCCGCGGGTTGAGGTAGTGCAGGGCGCCATCAGTGGTGGTGATAGGGATAGGGATAGGGGGCGGGAAGGCGTCGGTGAGCGTTGCTGCAGCGTCGGGGTTCATGGGTAGCCAGGTGAAGGGGATGTGACCCATGATCGAGCTCGTCGGAGGTGGACGAAAGTGGAGTGTTCTTATAGATATGGACGGGTGCAGGCAGTGACGTCAAGCTAACAGGTGGATGGAGACCCAGTGGTGGTGCTGACTGCTGAGGTGGAACACGGGATATCCAACGTTTCATGTTGGATGGGTCACAGGCTAGCATGGTTGGTGGCAGTATGAATCTCGATCTGTGGGTGATTTGTATGTTTGCTGAGTCTTCTTAGTGAAAAACGCGTGAAGTCGTGTTTTAAAAAAAATGTTTACTGAGGATTTTGGTGAAAAAAGTAGAACCTGTTTATGGTTAGAGCTTGAGTGACGCATACATAGCTGTCAGCAAGCTAGGAATTGGACTGTTCACGTATTAAGTGAGAGAGACTAATCACTAGAGCTTGAGTGACGCATGCATAGTTGTATAAAGTTAGCAATTAGACCCCAGTTCACGTAATAGGCGATCATAGTGGATGTATCTTTGTATAGTGCAACTACTAGTGTGGTGGGTTCACCAGGCCCCGTTCGGCTTGCTGAAACTTGGCTGAAATTGGCTGAAAAACACTGTTCTGGCTGAAATGTTGTGAGAGAAAAATACTGTTTCAGCTGAAAAAAGAAGCCGAACAAGCCGAATTTAAGGTAAGCCGAACGGGGTGACGTCGAGTATACAGGTGGAGGGGAACCTAGAGGTGGTGCTGACGTGGAGCGTTGAGTACCCATCATTACATGTTGGGTGAGTGACTGGCTGGCATGGCTGGTGCCAGTAACTGCCATGGCTGTTAGGGATTTTATTAAAAATTAAGGCAAATATTTATTGCTGGAGCTGCAGTAAAACATATATAGTTGTAGCAGTCCAACCGATTAATGACATGTTTAATCTCGTATAGTAGATTTGTGTGGTTGATGCATGTTATGGGATCGTAACCACAACTAGTAACTAGTGGTCAATTAGTAGTCGATGTGTGGGACTTTAGTGGTTAGCACTCAAGACATAAAGGGGTTTATCCCGGTTTAGGCTTTGATTCTTACAATGAAGAGAGAGAGGAGTGTGCTGCTAGCTCGGGTCTAAGGTTTCGACCGAGACCGGAGAGATCATGTCCATTTTGGAACAAATGGGTATCCTGGTATGCTCTATGTGTTCTATCATCACCCTAGTGGTGCTCCTTGCCCGAGCATACATAACTAGGGTTTTTTAGATGTCTTTCCCTCCAAGGGAGCGATATAGGATTCTTTGCTTTCGTCTTCTAGCGTTGGTGGCATCGTTTCTCTAGGTGAGGTCATGGCCGACAATGTGGAAACCACCCGCGGTAGCTTGTGCAAATGGCTTTGTCAGGTTCAGGCAAACTGGGTACAAGCCGCTCCGCCCGTCACTGGCTCACCCACTCCCAGCGTTCCTTGCATGTTAAGGGAAACGAAGCTTGGGGAGGCTAAAGAGCAGGTCTGGCGCTCCCCTTGTCCCCTTGCATCACATCCTAGGCATGACCCTTTTGCCGAAATAGGTGGGTGATGAGAGTATAACATAGGGGCATGTTAAGTTCCTGAGAAAAAGAAGCCGACCGACCCCCCCGACCGATCCCACAGATCGCTCGGGGGATCGGAGGCTATACCCATCTCGTACGCTCGTGCGCACCATCTGGAAGGAGCCAGGGCGAGCCTAAGCGCCCGCGCTGCCATCACTCAAGGCTTAGGGGTTCAGCCACAACCATGGCCCTGGGCTGCTGAGCGACGATAGCCCGACCTTAACCTCCACCCAGCGCACACCCAGGCGGCAACCGGCGCCCCAAGCTATAGGCTAGGATTCGGCTTATGAACCAGTCAAGCGTCCAAGAACCTGACAAGTCGAAGATACTACACACCGCCTGCATGTTCAACGGGCACGAGACACCTATCGACCGCTTTCTCGGTAGGGTCACGCAACGGGCGTGACACAACAAGACAAATGGCTCTACCAACTCTAGGAGCGAAGGGCTCCCGGGGCTTGCTCGTTAGCCCCTCCAGGCATGGGCTCCCTGCAGGACAAGGAAGCCTCAAGAAGGCTCACCCAGGGAGGCCGCGTCGTAGTAGGCGGCTTCTGATGGTCAAGTGCCAGAACAGAGGCAACGACGTCAAGAGGCGGTTGCGGCGCTGTCGGCTCCTCCCTAAGCGACAAGACGACATCCAACAATGCTGCAGTAGAGAACTCATGCACTCGGTGCATAGGCCATAGACTAGAACCAAACCGACTTGTACATTGTGCCCTCCTTAGGATATAAGGGGAGGCTCAACTTCCTTTAGAGAGGATCCGAATCGGCCCAAACTCTAGGAGGGACCGAGGAAGAATACCGATGAACTCTAGGTTAGCACTGAGCGATCCCCTACCAATCTCTCTCGATTTCCACCATTGTAACCCCTAATTGGGCATTCATAACACGAAGATTACTATACTGCTGGACGTAGGGCTCATAAGCCCGAACTAGGATAAATCAAGTTGTGTCACTTCCATGTTTTGAGTGTCCGAGTCACTGGAGACCCACACATCGAGTCTGACGAACAACTATGATGCTCGTTGTGGGTACGAACCCGCGATAGCTGGCAGCTCCACACTACAATAGAGGGAAATGCGTCCTGGCAATCCTGACCGCTTTGCGCCTCTACACAGGTGTCAGGCTCTTGCTGTGTGCTAGGGTCCTGTCAGGTGCGCCGAGGCATCTTCCCAAGCTAGTCTTCCAAGCCTTGGTCGGTTGGTTGGGATCCTTCGAAGGTGAGGCCCCTGGCTGCCTCGGGGACTTAGCCCCATTTTTGAATCAGCTTTGCTCGGCCATGTCCCTCGAGCGATGGTGGCTCGGGCCTCACGGGCTCTAGTTAGGCCCTAGAGCCCCTAACCGATTAGGAGAATCAGTTAAGGGGTCAACTATGCTACCATGATGTTAATTTGGAGGTTTTTGTAACCCCGGTGTTAGATATTCATTAGGAGCCCTCGAGCCCCTCGTGGTATTTCCGAGTCATTTTTAGGATGGGGGTGAGGGGATCAACCCTTTTTCGACCATTCATCTGACCAAACTAAGGCCGCTAGATTTAGTTCGCTGTCACTGGAGTTGATCACCCACGAGAGGTAAGTCACGTGTTGGTGGAAGGTGCTCACTCCGGCCAATTAAGAGTAGGGCTGATGCCTAGAAAATAGGGCATTGTAAAATGTGCATGCCACACATTCCATATAATGTAGGGCCAGTTCTATAGAGTTAGTGTGGATCTTATATACAGTAACTAAATTTAAGAAAAGCCCACACAATTAACTAGAGAAACTAAGAAAAAACATGAACAATCAAACCAAATTTGAGACAATACTAGATTGTAGATGGCATCTTAGGGTTAAATAACAAGAGAACAAATAATTAAAAGGTACATAATACGAATTAGAATAGAAGACCTAATAGTGAACATATGCAAGGGAATAGGATTAATACCTCATAAGTGAAGATGATCCATAGCAAATAAGATCTGAAGCAAAGTACAAAACCTATATAAATGAAGAACTAAAATAATTTACAAGAGACAGTAATCAAATGAACGAAGACAAACAGGCCTAAACAAATCAAAAGACAGATGGAAATAAGAACTAACAACAGCAGATCATTAGCAATTCAGATACACAACCCTAGCTAATCGTGAAATGATTTAACGTTAGAAACAAATAATGGTGAGAACAGGAAACCAATAAATTGAGCCAAAAAAGAAAACCACCAGATCTATGATATTGAAAGGAAAAACAAAGATGAGCCATATACATAGAGGTGAAGAAGATAATACTGCAACTCTGAAACAACCGAAAAAGTAGATTTAGAAGGAGGACAACCACCATGTTTACTACAAGATTGAAACGAAAAAAAAGAAAGAACAGAAAAAGGTGATTTTGGAGAGAGGTGACCACTAGGTCTACAAGATTGGAATGAAAAAAAGGAAGAAGACGACGAAGTTGAGAAACGAGGAAGACAAAGCAACAAAGTTTCCCAAAAACGACATGATAGGTGGGATCGAGACACTATAGTGACATGAATGAACGACGCATAAACGAGTGGCACAGATGCGTGAGGAAGACAAATCGAATGTGACAGAATCAAATAAACTAGCAATGTTATCGGGTCCGTTTGGATGTAGATATTAGAGGGGTTCGAATTGAATTGGGCTCAATACCAAAGCAGTCATGGTATTGAAATATCCACAATTCGAATATTATTGTTTGGATGACCATTGAATTGGCTTTTGGAATCCTAGCGAATAGCTCAAATCTGTTTCCTGTTTGGATGCAAGAGCATGTAATTGAAACACTGGGAAGCTCACTGGCCATGGCGGACGGAGGTTGGCAGCAGCCACCGCGGCGGGCCACGGCTACGTGGGAGTATGTCAGGACCAGTGACCATGGGGGAGCTCGAACGTGGCCATACGGGGAGGATCTCGCGGGCCACGGAGAAAGAAGGGGCAGCCTGGCCATGGAGAAGAAGGGGCACCACCGGCAATGGAGAAGAAGGGGCGCCGAGGAAGAAGAGAAGAGTCCGCCTCCGCGTCGGGGTCGGGGCGGGGATGAATGCCACACAATACGAAGACGTGGGTCTCGGTATTGGAGATGAGGAGGGGCAGGTATATATAGCCAATACTGATTGGTATTTGGTTCGAATTCCAATTCTGAAATCTTAGCCATCCAAACAGTGGAATTGGCAGCTTCACAATACGAATTCCAAATCCTGAGGCCTACATCCAAACGGGGTGCAAGTGTTATTAAAACGTGTCGATAAGAGGTTTGGGCCTAGCCAGCGGTGTATACGTTCTCGATAATGTAGCACTGGTTAGCAGTGTCAATAACTGTTGTTGTTGCAACGTGCAAATGACCCTGACAATAACTGTTGTTCAGAACTTCAGACAACGAGCGTAATACGAAGTCACTTCGAAATTCAACAGTGTGAACTTATTAAGCTAGTTATATTTCTTTGTACACATGAACTAATCATATATATAGTACTAATAATAAGAGATAAATTTTAATAACTCCATCAGCTCAGCTCAGCTCAGCTCTAACTCTCTAAGGCTTGATTGATATGATGGTCAGTCACTCATCAGTTTACGTTTAGCCGAAGCGGCAGCCACCGACGGCAACCTTGTGCGCACCTTCCTCCACCCGTGCAGCCTCTGCCTCGGCAGCGATGGCCTTAGCCGTGTCGTAGGAGGCGTGCAGCCCGACGAAGAAGTAGTAGGCGAGCAGCGCCGCCGTCCAGATCAAGAACCGCATGAAGGACGCGCCGTCGATGGATCCCAGCAGGAAGATGTTGATGAAGATGGACGCGGACGGCAGCCACGGCACGAGCGGCACCCCCCACATCTTGGGCGCGCGCGCCTTGGGCACGCCCCACTGCAGGTACGCCGTGGCGGCGAGCCACGCGGCGACCGTGACCACGTACGCCACCCACCCGCCGCCGCCGGAGCTCGTCATCCCCCAGTACGCGGCGGTGGCGGTGGACGAGGCGACGATGACGGCGAGGCAGGCCACGAGCCTGTTCCGGTCCGAAGCCGCGGTCTCGCCGGCGACGTAGTAGCGGCGGACGAGCAGGGCCATGGCGACGAGCGTGAAGATGAAGAGCGTGGAGATGGAGAGCAGGTTGGAGAGGATGCCGAGGTTGGTGAAGAGTGCGATGACGGCGGTGGCGACCATCATGACGACGGTGGCGTAGACCGGGGTGCCGAACCTCGGGTGCACCTGCGCGAGGCACGGCGGAGCCATGTGCGTCCGCGCGATGTGGGTCAGGTACCTGGCCTGCCCGACGGCGCCGACGAGGAGCACGGTGGTCATGCCCTTGAGCGCGCCGAACGCCACGATGTACTTGGCCCAGTCCATGCCGACGGCGGTGAAGGCGACGCTGAAGGGCGCGTCGGCGTCGATCTCGGTGTAGGGCTGCATGAGGCAGAGCACCAGCGCCAGGAGGCAGTAGACGGCGGTGGTGAGCGTCATGGCGCCGACGAGCCCCACGGGGATGTCCCTGGCGGGGTTCCTCGTCTCCTCCGCCATGGTGCTCACGGCGTCGAAGCCGATGTAGGCGAAGAAGAGCACGGCCGAGGCCGCGAAGATGCCCCGCGCGCCGAACGGCGCGAACTCGGCGCTGAGGTTGGCGGCGTTCGCCTTGGTCAGCCCCGCCACGACGATGAAGGCGATGACGGCGAGGTGCAGGATGGAGAGCACGTAGTTGAAGCGCGACGAGCCCTTGGTGCTGAGCACGGCCAGCGCGCAGATAGCCGCCGTCACCGCCACCGCGATCGGGTCCAGCTCCGAGTAGCCCTCCGCCAGCGCCGCGGCGTGCACGCGGAAGTCGTCCGGGTGGTGGTTCAGCAGCGTCGCGAAGTAGGACGTCCACGACCGCGCCACCGCCGCCCCGCCGATGCAGTACTCGAGGAGGATGTTGCCCGCCGCGATGAACGCCATGAAGTCGCCCAGCTCCACGCGGAGGTACGCGAACGACCCGCCTGTTAGTTGCAAATGCATGGAAAGAAAAAAAAATTCATGGAACGATCCGTATGTAACGAATGACGCACGTTGCATGCAAATTCATGTACCTGCGACGGGGATCTCGATGGCGAACTCGGTGTAGCAGAAGACGGCGAGCATGGCGGATACGCCGGAGATGGCATAGGAGACGACGACGGCGGGGCCGGCGGCCTCCTTGGCCTCCTGTCCCGTGAGCACGAAGATGCCGGCGCCGATGACGGCGCCGATGCCGAACCAGATGAGGTCCCACCACGTGAGGTTCCGCCGCATGTCGGCGCCGCTCCGGCCGCGGACCTCGTTCACCTCGGTGGCGTCCAGGGACCGCGCCATCAGGCGGTCGCGCAGCCGCGGGCCCGTCTCCAGCAGCGCCCGCCCGTACGCCGACCAGCTCCGGAACGACTCCTCCGGGAACAGCGTCCCGCCGCAGCACCTTGCCGCCGCCGCCGGACGCCGCCATGGTGGAGTGGAGCGGAGGAGGAGGGATGCGGTTACTGATAGTTAGGGTAAGCGGTTGGTTGACCGATCGATGGATCCACGTACGCCACGGGGGTGATCTCGTCCCGTGCGCGTGGCATATATAGTGGCGCGCGAGCGTGCCCTAGCGGCGGGCGATCTCGGCCGCCGGGTCCTCCCCCATCGACGGCAGGTGGTTGCGGGACGCGTCGTGACTCGTGAACGAGATACGGTCGGTTGCAGTTGCAGCGGCGTCGAGAAGGTGGGTCCACTCTCCTGTAACGAGATTCCGCTGCGGATCAGTGGACGGGAGAATCTGGTGTGGGTGGGCCACGTGGACCGCTTCCACGTTGCACGGAGAATCTGAATCTGAGCCGGGATGCTCACGGCCCAACAACTCCATGGGAGACTGCTTTTCCATACGGCCATTAGTACAAGTAATCCCTTAGTACAACTCAACCGTCCTTGTCTGGCCTTTTAGGTCCGGCCCATGGACTCGTTAGGTGCGCACATTTGCAACTTCTGGCGACGAGAAATTACTTGCCGATAAATACAGTGTAAGGAAAATGGACCCTTGGTCCATTTATTTTGGATTTTGGTGTTTGATGACCAACACAACCAAATTGGACTAATGAATTTGCAAGTGTTTGTTTTGTAGTCCAATATGGTGCAAGACGTGACTTGGACGAAGGCGACGTGATGATCCGATGATCAACACCTCAAGCAAGACTATTAGAAGCACAAGTGAAGACCCAAGATATCAAGCAAAGTCCAAGCATGAAGATAGGAACCAAGCCGCCGACACGCATGAAGATCACGAAGAAACGAGCTCGTAGAGAGGCGGCCGGGAATGACTGGACCGGATATTTGGACGGTGGTTTCGGCAGATAAGCGACGACGGACGCAAGGACCGGACGCTGGCGGCAACCGACCGAACGCAGAACGCAGCGTCCGATCAAATCTGAAGAGAGGTTCCAGCGCTGCTGAATCGCGACCGGACGCGTCCGGTAGCGAGCGACCGGACTATTTGGCGGCAGCGTCCGATCAGTAGTTCAGCGGTTATAGCGGTCGGAGACGACGGACGCGTCGATCGAGAGCAGATTTGCGGGAGTTTGACCCCAACGGCTACTTTCTCAGTGGGGCTTATAAATACAACCCCCAACCGGCCATTTGAGTGGTGTGGAGCTGAGGAAACATATCAAGAGTGTTGATACACCATTTGAGTGATCTCCACATGCATAGTGCTTAGTGTTTTATTAGGTGATTAGCATAAGTGCTTTGCGAAGTGCTTAGGTTGATTAGACCACCGCTTATGCGCTTGCTCTAGGTGTTTGCCTAGTGTTTAAGTGAGGTTTGCATACCTCTTGCCACCCCGTGCTTGCGAGCACAAGAGTTGTACATCGGAGGGGCTTGAAGTCTTGCGAGATCGCACCAACCGCGTTTGTGGTGCGGCCGCCACCGTGTACCGAAGGGAACAAGGCCCGCAGCGTTTCGGCCGAAAGCTTGATAGTGAAGACGGCGGGGAGCATCCGGGAGAGGCTTGCCGGAAGGCACATTGGAGACCCACTTGCGCGTGGGGAAGGCCCGAGGCTATCCACGGAGTTACCCGATCGGGAGCTTGGCCCTTGCGAGGGATTCCTTGCGAGGGGCTCCAACGAGGACTAGGGAGAAGCTTGCGCGCTTCTCGATACCTCTGTAAAAATACCGGAGTCGTCGACGGGAGTTTGCATATCTCTACCTCGCTCTTTAAGCTTCCGCATTTACATTGATCATATTATTATCATTTGCGGTAGAGATAGCAACACACTAGCAAAACCGTAGTTGCACATCTAGATAGATTATCTTTTACATAGGTTTTGCTAGAGGTAGAAAAAGAGGCCATAGTTTAGAGTTAGATTTTTAAGTTGCCTAATTCACCCCCCTCTTAGGCGTCCACGTGTCCTACAAGTGGTATCAGAGACGGTTGGCTCAATTTGGACCTTTGGCTTAACCGCCGTTGAGCCGACGCTATTTAGAGTGGTTGGGATGGATACCGCTAGGCCTCCGAAATTTGATGGCACTAACTTCCCATATTATAAAGCAAGAATGGCTTGTCATCTTGAGGCGGTTGATTTAGGTGTATGGAGAGTCACTCGTGACGGGATGAAACCCATTATGAATCCAAAAAAACCCACGAAGAGTGATGAAAAAGAATTGCATTTCAATGCTAGAGCTAAAAATTGCTTGTTTGAATCTTTAAGTATGGATGTTTTTAACCAAGTGTTCACTTTAAATACCGCACATGAAATTTGGTTAAAACTCTAAGAGCTCCATGACGACACAAGTAATATCCGTGAGCAAAAACATTGTCTAGCTAAACAAAATTATGATTCCTTTACTATGAATGACAATGAGCTTGTTCGTGATATGTATTCTCGTTTGAATCTAATTATCAATGAGCTCCATTCAATAGGACTATTAAAGCTAGATGATGCGGACATCGTGAGGAAGATCATCTCCGTGCTACCACAAAAGAAATATGCAAGCATCATCACCATCCTTCACAACATGGAGGACTTGAGCAACATGACCCCGGGCATAGTCATTGGCAAGCTAGTGGCATTTGAAATGTCCCGTAAGATGGGTCAAGAAGAAGCTTCTTCATCAAGCAAAGGCAAAGCTCTCGCATGTAGCGAGAAGAAGAAGATGAAGGGAAAGCAAGTTGAGACAAGCTCAAGCTCAAGCTCCTCAAGTGAAGATGAAGAAGAAGATGAGGATGATGATGATGAAGAGGTTTCAAGTAATGATGATCAATCTTCCTCCTCCGCCTCCGACCTTGATGAAGAATCAATCAAACTTATCAATAAGGTGGAGAAGATGATCCAAAAGCTCAATATCAAGGGTGTGCCCATCCAAATCCAAGACCTCGTTTTCACCAATCAAAGAAACGAGCAAAGAAAGAGAGGATGCTATGGATGTGGCGAAGTGGGGCACTTTGTGGAAGTTTGTCCAAACAAACCCACACCTAAGACAAAAAAGAAGGCATGCAAGAACAAAGCCCTCACATCAATAAGATCATGGGATGATTCTTCAAGTGAAGAAGACCATCACAAGAGGCAAGGGCGCAAGCACTCATCATCAAGCTCTTCTTGTGTGTGCCTTATGGCACGAGGTAACGAAAGCTCATCCTCTAGTGAGAGCGATAGTGATGATGATATGCCTTCTTATCATGAAATTGTGCAACAAAATCTTAAATATGCTAAAGTTTGCACTAGTCAACAAAAGAAGCTCAAAAGTTTAAAAGAAGAGCTAGGTAGTTCACAAGAAGCATACAAGAATTTGCTTGAACAATATGAAAACTTTGCAAATCTAAATGTTGAACTATCTACTAAAATTAAGCAACTTGAGGCTAGTGCAACAACAAGTGCATGCACAATTAACGATAAGCAACTTGAGAAGAAAAATGAAAAATTAAAAGAAAAGTTAGCTATCTCACAAAATGATTATCAAAGTTTGCTTGCTAAAATGAAAATCATGTGCAAACATTGTGATGAGCTAACTAATAAAGTTGCTAATCTTGAGGCCGTCAATTTAACCTCCACCAAGGCATCTAAAAGAAATGACATAATTAAAAAGGATGCCTCTACTTCTTGCAATAATTTATATTTAGACTCACCCTTATGCAACCAAGCTTGTGTTGAGAAAGTGATTGTAGATACATGCACACAAGAGGTTGTAAAGGAGAATGAGCAACTCAAGCAAGAAGTAGTTCGCCTCACCAAGGACTTGACTCAAGTGAAAGGCAAGGCGAAGCAAACCCAACTTCATCAAGATAACACCGTCAAGGGAGTGAAGAAGCTTGATGAAGGACAAACCGTGGTTTGCTACGTGTGCGACAAGGAAGGTCACAAGTCCTATGAGTGCAAGGTGAAGAATGAGGGAGGAGCAAAGATGAAGGAGAAAAAGCAAACAAGCAAGCTCTCCAACACCTACACCAATAAGGTGGACAAGAAGGCCTCCACACCTTATCTCTCTTGAAGAAGAAAAATGACAAGGTGGTGGCCATCAAGGTGAACAAGCAAGCCAACAAAGGGGTCAAACGCCTTTGGGTGGCAAAGGAAATCATTTCAAACATGAAGAGCACCAAGAAGGTTTGGATCCCGAAAGGGAAGTGAGAAGTCCGTCGGACCTCGGGGAATTTGGAGACTTGGCAAAGTATGGGTGCATTTCATGGGGTGCATCATGATGGACAAAATCATTGCCAAGTGGGTTAGTGAATACAATGGACCCAAATTCCCCTTCCCATGTTAGGTAACTAGATTCAATTTACTTCAATTGGTATTAGATTTAAAATTTTCCTACAATTGGTATCTTTTAGCATCTAGTTACTCTTCATGCCTATGTTTGCATTTGAATTCTTATATCTTTTGTCATGCATACACTAGGTATATCATATGGTAGGCTTGCTCGGTTTCATTCTTAACCCTTGGAGCAAACCTACATGGTTCAAAATTGTTTACAAGCACGGCACATAGCTTGTCTCACTTTTGTTCATCTAATATGTGCCAAAGTCCAAATTGTATATAATCTCTCCCAGATATCTTTTTGAAAATGATTCTCACATTCATGAGATGTCATCTTTCAAGTGGTATTTTTTATTCTAAAATCAATGTGCATGATTTCTATAATGTTTTCTATATTTGTGTGCACATATTTAGGGGGAGTATTTCTACAACTTGGATGCTTTGAGACTAACACTTTTTAAATGGTATCAACTTTTCAAACCTATCACATGTGTAGTAGTCTCATTGTAAGGAAATTGGAGTTCCCAAAGTTAAGCATCATTCTTCATTTAGTATCATCATGTTGACTTCATTTTGATATTTATATGCTTTCTC